TTTTTTCTAGAGGTACTGAGAACTGAACCCAGGGCCTTCACAGTGAGCTGTATCTTCAATATCCCCACCACCACCCTGTTTTTGGAGGCAGGGTCTTGCTAAGTCACTAAGTTGCCCAGCTGGATTCCAATTTTCAATTCTCCTGCCTCAGCCTCCCATAGTGCTGAGATTACATGCATACCCCACCACGCCCAGCTGCAGACTCATTTCCTGCTTTCTTTTTTTTTTTTTTTTTTTTTTTTTGTTTTTTTGGTTTTGGTTTTTCTCCGGTACCGGGAACCAAACTCACGACCTTGCACTTGCCAGGCAGGCGCTTTTTGCCGCTGAGCTAAATCCCCAGCCCCTCATTTCCTGCTTTCTTTAGCTCCTTCCCACCTGCTCCTGACTGTCCTGGTAGGTGACACCCTTGACTCACCTCCAGGCAGTCCACAGATGCCCAGCCCCGTGGGTGGTTTCACCTCCTTAGGAAGGTACCCATGTGTCTCACATCTCTTCTGCTTTTTTATTTCTAGCATAAGCCTTGCAGCCTAAATCTATTTCTACTCACTTGGTCTTCAGCAGCAACAGAGAAGCCTCCCCTGACTAATTGGGGGAAAAGTAGCCGATTCTACCCTTCTCTGTCTGAATAGGCACCCCACCCACTAGCCGCTTTTAAACATGCCTCGCTTTCCTGTACTAGTATTACTGTAATTCACTCTGGCTTGGTGTCTGCATGTTCTTGATCTCTGCCAGCCCCTGTGATGTCTGGGTTAGACTGAGACATCCTAGAGGGCAGGGCCACATCTACTGTGTGTCTCCAGCCCCTGCTCAGCAGAGCAGCAGGGATAGGCAAGCACTTAATAAAGACTTTGGTAGTTGAAACAGATGAACAGCGCTCTGTGCCCAAAGCATTGTAAGTGCAAAAGAAGCCATCCATGTCCACAGCCAGCCCTCCTGCCAGCCCATGAGCTGGGGCACTTTTGCAATAAAGCAAGGGGAGCACTCTCTTGCATCTGAGAGAATAATATCAATAACAAGCACTATGAAAGCACTGCTTTTGTAGTATTGACTGATTTGATGCTCAAAATCATCTTCTGAAATAGGGACTATCATTACTTTACAAATGAGGAATCTGAAGCACAAAGAGCCCAAGTGTGGTGGTGCATGCTTATAATCCCAACATCCAGGAGGTTGAAGCAGGAAAATCACCATGAATTTGAAGCCAGCCTAGGCTACATAGCAAGTTCAAAGCTAGCCTGAACTAAATAGTAAGACCCTGTCTCAAAAACAAAAACAAAAACCCACAAAAAGTGAGGCACAGATTCACTATGTGACTTGTCTAGCTCTCCAACTGGGGTCATCTAGTATTGGAGAAATCAGCTTCTCCAACATGGTACACTGTCCCTCAACATGGACTAGTACAGCTTCTGTCACAAGTGGAAAGTGAAGGCGTGCCAGAGGGCTCTTTCCCTACACTCTCATGGTTCCTCTACCCCTGTCCTACATAACCCAATGACTGAGAGAAGGAGGGTGGCACCCCATAACTTTCCAGCCAGGGGCCAAGTGGGTTGTCCAAGCATTTGTTTATAGCCCACCCCTCTCTCTCCTCTTGTCTTCTCTGCCTTTTTTCATATATGTAAAGCATGTTCACATTCAGGCCTTTGAGCTTGGTGTTTCATCCTCCTGGAACATTCTTCATCAGATATGCACATGTATGGGTCCTTCTGATTATTTAGGTATTAGCCCAGAAGGAAACTTCTGGGAAGGATTTTTCTGATCATTCTATCTACTATGACTATATCTTTGCCACCCCCTCCCTTTCACTCAAGATTAACTCATTCTCCTGTTTTGTTTTGGTTTCAACTTAACCTTCCCATGGCATTCCATACTACCCCAAGTTACATTATTTACTTGTTAAATTTGTGTGTCTCCACTGGACTGTCAGCCTCTTGACAGTAGAGATCTCATCTGTTTTGTTCGCTCCTGGATATTTGTTGCCCGGAACAGCATCTGGCACATTGTGTGTTCCCAGAAAATGTTTGTTAAATAAACCGTTGATAAATGAATGAATGCAAAGTCCTTCGTCAATCTGTGCAAAGGTGGGACTAGCTGGGTTCTCCTGCTGCCTTTTACCCCAACATAGTTTGCAGGAAGAGATCAACTCTTTCTTTTTGGCACAGTCTTTTAACTCCTAGAACAGTTGCAGATAACTAGAGTGATGGGTGAGAGGTTTCTAATCCTTTGTTTGGGCAAGGAAAGACCGAGACATTCAGCCACTGTGATTGAAGACTGCTCTCCCTTCAGGACTATGTGTAGGCAATGGCTAGACAGCCCTTTCCTTGAATGAAAACTGAAATACAGAAATCTCAGCCTGCCCCCTTTCCCTTCTTCTTCCTTTCCCTCTCTTTTTCCTTCTCCATCTCCATCTCATTTCCTTCTCTAGGGTTCCCCATCTCTTTTCTGTTTCTCTTCCTAATTGAAATGCTCTAGAGAAAAGCAAGAAGAAAGTGGGAAACCATGTTCTTTGCATCTCTTTGAAGCACTCCCATTGCTCTTATTTCCACTATAACACAATCCCATTAAAACCTCTTGGCTCCTGACAAAGTAAACCCCCTATACATAATAATCATATGTAGGAAGTGGTTGATTTGATCCAGTCTTAATGCAGACATGGCCTCTTATTCCCCCCACATAATAATAGAACTTATTCCTTCATTGGTGTTAGTGCTTTCCTTCAATGCTTTATTTATGACACACAGTAAAAATAATGAATCAGAATGAAAAGCTACTAACCTTTGACCGAACTATGTATCTATCACATGAGGGCATTTCACAGTACAGCTAGTGACCTTTCTTTTATCTTTTCTCAATAAAATGCAGTTTTGGGGCTGGGGATTTAGCTCAGCGGCAAAAGCACCTGCCTGGCAAGTGCAAGGTAGTGAGTTCGGTTCCCGGTACCAGAGAAAAACCAAAAAATAAAAAATAAAAAATAAATAAAATGCAGTTTTTCCATGACTAAAACATTTACTCACTGTCTGTTACTCACTTCCAAGGTATTATCACACTTGTTGTCTCCTGGCTTCACCCATAAGACAAGGAATAGAGCCGCAAATGGTGTCTCACAGGAGTTGGAGAAGAGGCCCAGAAGCATAAAGCTATTTGAAGAAGTTTGCACAGCAGGTGAAATATTATTCCAGGGCACATTCCAAATCCTGCCATTTTTTAGCACTTGCCAGAAGCCACACTCCCAGCAGCCCTTGTGACATGTATACCTGAACCAGTCGATGTGGAAGAAGAAAGAAATAACTTAGGAAGCTATATTATTCTTTCCTTTAGGTAAGATGAGACTCCTGACTGAGGCAAGATCCTGACATAGAGTGCCCCCACATAAGACTCACTATTTCTAGGAACCAGACTACCCTACTCTGTAGCTCTGCCAGAGGCTCAGGTGGAGGTGGAAAAAAGAAAGGAACTTAGCAGGCAGCCTGGACCCTTTCGTCTATAAGGAGTTTTCAACCTCGGGCAATATTCCATTTGGTGCTTCAGATAAGCCTAGTCATAAGGAGGAACCCATGCCTTAATCCCTCAGATGGATTTATTCCCACTGAGATCAATCTCATTGCCCCTCATAATGCCCAGGATGCTGCCCCAGGCATCACCAAACCCGAAGTACTTCCTCTTCACAGCAAAGAGAAAAAAAAAGAGTAAAATATCAGCTAAGGCTGCATCTCACAAGCAAGCAGACTGCAAGAACCTGAGCCAGTCAGGAGCACGGCATCCTAACACACAGTGATTTGTTCAAGGCACATTGAGAAGTATTCCCTGCACTTAAGGAAACTACTGAAGAAGTGGCTAATTTGAGTGCATAATCCTCCCCAAGTGGGAATCAAATAGTCTTTTTTCTGCATAATAACAAGATCAGATTTTCAAGTGAGCCTTTTCTGTCCAGGAAGAAAAGTCTGTGAGTCTTAGAAACTGTACACAGCTATCCAGCATTGCAGGCACCAAGTTGTAAGTGGAGTAAGTGAGATATCTGAATGGATAAGGTAGGGAGAAGCCACCAGATGTGAGAAAACTCTTCTCCATGAGATACTTGGCATTCCCCATACTCAGTGGACAAAGTTTAAGGGGCAGTCTAATTTGATGTACTTTAGGCCTGAGATGGAGACTGTTGTGGAAAATTTCACTACCTTCCCTTATTTCCGTCTCTGTGTACCTTAAACTCTTACCCAGACTTAATGACCTGCTTTCAACATAGGAAAACTGGAGGCTATTAGGAAGTGTCTTAGCAAATTGGAGTAGTTTCAGTGTAAAAAACAGGTTAATTGGTTTTCAGCCTATGAGAGCAAGGAAAGAGGACAAGATTGTGGCACTTTCAGACAGGGCAAAAGTTGGAATGTGGGGCTGAAGGTGGGCTGGGGGAATGTTATCAACAAGGAATCATCTGACAGGATATTTTGAAAGCAAGCATGAACATATCGCCACATCCCTTCATTTCATTACTGCTGGGTCATTTATTCTGAGGATGAGTATAGAATTTTTTGGATGGAATTGAAGACATTAACACCAAGAAGAAAATGCAAAAACGAGAATACAACTGAGCTACCAAGCAGGCTTCATCAGGGGCCAGACACCTATTGAGCAAACTTTACAGGAAGCAGCCTTGAGGAGCTCTCAGAAATTACAGTTCTAACTTTGAGTGGTGGTGCATGCCTGTCATTCCAGCACTATGGGAGGCTGAGGCAAGAGGAGCACAAGTTTAAACCCATCCTAAACAAGTTAGTGGCTTATTGAGATTGCGAGGAAAGAAAAAGAGCCTGGGGATATGGGATATGGTTGGAGTGATGCCCCTGGGTTCAACCTCCAGTGCTAAAGAACAACAACAACAAAACCAGAAAGAGACAAAAGAGAAGTCCTGACACTAGCAACAGCATAATGGTTCCCCAGAGGAAGCAGACAAGGAGCAATCTGTACTACCTGGAGATACCACAGGGAGGAAGGAGAACAGAAAAGAGACTCACCTGTTCCGGTCCCTGGAAGCAGATGCGGCAGAGTGGAGTCCTCATACCACTGTCCAGGCTGCTGCCCAGTGAGTAGCAATCCTCAGCCTTCTCCTTACAAAAGTCATCTGAAGAGGCACTGCTGAGCAGTGAGGCAGGTGGTTCCGTGGCTGGGCCGCCCCAGTCATCTTCCACAGAAGGTGGCAAAGGTGGTGGAGGTGGCAGAGGAGGGGTCTCCCTGCCCACCACTTCTCGAGGGCCCCTCCAGCCTGCCCACCCCCCGGCACCCAGAGCCGGAAGGGTGTTATTGTTGGCCGCCAAAATGGGGGGCTGAGGGTCGCCGTGCATGGGCTGGGGCGCTGGAGGAGGGCGCCGCAAAAGGAAAACCTTCAGGTCATTGAAGAGCATGCGGCAGCGGCACTTGAGGAGACCCTGGTGGCGCAACATTTGGGGGGCTGGAGTGCACAGTCCACAGCAGTACCAGCCACAGCAGCAGCAGCACCACCACCACAGCAGCCCACCCAGGGGCATCAGCATGTGCCCAGAGGGAGCAGAGAACCCGAGAGGGGCAGCCGGAGTCTTAGAAGAGGCGGGTACAATGAGGCTTGGGGTCCGCACTGTTTCTCTGTTATGGGAGGAATCTCCTTTCTTACTGGCTCTTCTTCCGGCCCCTCTGCACAGCCAATAAATAGCTCCAAGAACTGAGAACTGGGAGTCACTGATTCTGAACTCTACCTGGAAAAGGCAAAACAAGTTTTTCTTGCTCTTGCAGCCCCACCCCAACTTCAGACTTTGCTCACCGTGTTTCCTTTCTGCCTTTGGCCCCAGGACACTAGTAGGAGCAGGGCGATAGAAGAAGCCTTGAGGCTGAACGGTTAGAGCCTTCAGATCAATGTCTAATTCTTAAAAGTTCACCAAGAAAGGGTTGCTGGGTTCTCAAATCCCTAGGTGGTGGTAAATTGCTTCCTTTTATATAAAAGAGTGAGAGGAAGATTATAAATCAAATTTGGAGTGGGTTGAGCTGGGCTTGGAGAAAAGTAGCTCGATGAATTGAGGAGTGCATATACAAGAGAGAAAGAAAAGATAGTTTTTCTCAGGTAGTAGGAGACTGGTGGGGTGGAGGCAAGTCGGGGAGGAGAGGAGACTGGGAGAAGTTTTAATTTTCCTGGGCAGAAAACTGGGGCAATTAACCCCTAGAAGCACCACAGTCGCTTTCAAGAGAACCGTTGGATGGGGGAGAGGCGGCTGCAGGTGAAATTGGGGGAGGGGGTTGTGCTTTGCCTATGCAGCCAAGGGCTGCGCAGAAGTGGGTAAAGCCAATGTGGCAAAGAGAGATGGGAGAAGAGTCGGGTGGGGAGGGAGAGAAGAAGAGAGAAAAAGATCGTGTATCCCTCGTAGAGCCACGTCCTTCCTGAGCACTAAGATCTTGGCTAGAGGAAGGGTGTATATGGGGAAGGGCAGGTGGTGGGGCAGAGAAAAGGGGTAGAGAAGAGGGGCGTGTGGGAGAGGACGGGGAAAGGGATAGTTACATTATCGCAACCCCTAGCCCACTCCTGCTGCAGTCTGTAAATCCGTGGCCCCCTCCCCGTGCTTCCATCAAAGGTCCCTTCGGGTGAGGTGCAAGAGCGAGAAAAAGGGCAGGTCCGGGCAGGCGAGTATCCTCGCCTTCTCCTCTCCTCCCTCCTCTGGGTCGCGGTCGCCCTCCTGCTCCCGCTCCTGCTCCTGCTCCTGCCCTTGCTCCTGCTCCTGCTCGGGGTCTGCTCGCGCCCGCTGATGCTTGCTTGGTGGCAGAGGCGACTGCTTGTCGGTGTCCGGGTGTCTCCGGGGCGGGGGCTGCTCCGGCTCGTCCTCTAGCTGCTGCTGCCCGCCGTCCGGGGCGGTCTCGACTCCTGGCTTCATGATCCTTCCTCTCCTCCTCCTCCTTCCCGGGGGGCCGGCCCTGAGCCCCCGCGCCCGGGCAGTGCTGCCATGCAACCAGAGGCGAGGCGGGCGTGGGGATGGGAGCGGTTCGAGCGAGGGGGTAACAAAAAACGAAATAACACTAATGCAATAATTGGCTTCTCAAATAATCAAGAAAGAGTACTTCTGGTGGGTGGGGGCGGAGGAGGGCTGCTGCCAGGTCTTCTCGGCAGCTCTGCCCCCTGCCCCCACCAAGGGCGGCCTCCCCGGCTCTCCGCCCCCACCCCCACCCGCCCCTCCTTCCTGTCCCTGCCACCGCTGGCTGGGCTTGGTTGCTACCTCTCCTCGCAGCTGCAACGAGGTGAGGTTTGCGTGCGGTGCCAGCTGAAGGTGGGGAGAGGAAAGCGAAGCCGTGTGGCCCAGGTGGGAGGCAGCCGGCACTTGGTTCCAGCTTGGTCGTCGAGATTCCCCAAAACCGTATATAAATATATCTCTTCTAAAAGCCGAAAGCAAGCAAAGCAGATTCCCGGCTGCTGCCAGGTGTTGTCTTCCACCGTTGCTCAGCACCCGCCGCCGCGACTGCTGCCCCCCTGGCTCAGTTCCCAAAGGGGTGGTGCTGGAAGGGAGGTGTCGGGGTGCTGAGCCGACGATCTGAGGACTGGAAACAAGGTTCTCGGAACGGAGAAAGGTCCCAGTTATTTCCACCTCCGCTGCCGCGGCCGCTGCTGCTGTATTCAGCACCCGGGTGAGTGGACAGCTCCCACCCAGACCCGGCGTCACGCTAGTGGGGGCCTGACGCAGACGCCGCGGAAGGTTGGAGGAGGGAAAGACGAGAGCGAGAGAGGCTAGGGGGAGAGGGAGCAAGAGGAGGAGAAAAGAATTGTACGAGGGAAGGAGATGGGGAGGGACCGAGGGAAAAGGAGGTAACGGCGGGCGGGAGGGATTTCCAAAGGGAGGGAGGAAAGAGCGACAAGGAAGAGGCAGAGTGCCAAGTGGGATGGAGGGAATTGAATCAGGTACTAACTCGAGCATTTCTCCCCGCTGTAGATTATCAGTGTGGCTGGTACTGTTGGCAGGGTTTCTGCCACGGTGCACTATCACCGCTGCCCTCAGCTCACATGAGACACCCACCTCGGAGTCCATTTCGATGTTCATATAAACATTTAGAGTAGCTATCAGGCTGCAAGCTCGGAAGAGATAAAGTTTTGTGACTTTCACGGAAACAGATTTGATGGAGACTAAGTCGCTCAACACTAAGACCTCATGAGAAAGAAGTGCTTCACACTGAGCAGAGAGGAGCATGCTAGCACTGTTTTTGACCATTTCTCCCTCTAGAATATAAACCCCCAAGGGCACGGTGTTCTGCTGTTGTTTGTTTGGATGGTTGGTTTTGTTCTATTTTGATCCTATGTGGCTTGGTCAATGGGAAGTAGTAGGATAAATCTTTGTTAAATGGCTTGTGGCCATCGACACTGTAGTTATCATCACTCCACATCTCATCTTCTTTCAGTTGTGAGTCATAAGAATCCAGAGAAATATTATGGCCTCGTCTTAAGCAGTGCCCCCTCTCCAAGTGTTCACTGAGCAACTGTCAAGGAGTAATTTGAAATGGATTTAATTTCCTCTCCTTTTTCTGCTTCTGACTCATGTCACCTTACCTTATCCTTCTCGAGGAGTTTATAGTAAGCAGAAAAGTATCCTTAAATGTGAAGGCCTAGAAAAAGATACAAACTTAAAGTGATTTGCATAAATATTTAGCATTTTCAGCCGTGGACTTTGGTCATTTAAAATTTAGGATTACTTTATTGCTTTTTCTCATAAATACCACTGTCTCATTCATGCACATGTAAATATACACATACACACAGAGAGACCGACACCTTTAGGGTCATAGACTTCAAGAAGACATTCCAATGAGTCATCTACACAGCTGTGCCAATGCCTTTAGAAATACTGGAGCCATAGACAGAATTGCATGAAAAAAATCTGGATTGAAATATCATTGGGATGAAGTTCAGCCCAATGAATCATAAGAAAACTACCCCTTTGCTGATATCTCCATGGATGATTCATTCCTATAAGCTCTAAGGAGCAAGGACCTGTGTCTAGGTCTTGATTAACCCAGCATGGATATGTGTCTGAATCATGCCCCAGCGCCTCCTATGGATGCTGAGACCCTGCCCAAAGTGAGTGGTTTGAAAATGATGCTGACGCACTTTTCTGCTGGTGCGTTTAATAACTCTAAAATAATACTTAAATTACAGATATCTGTGTGAACACTGTGCTGCAAAGACAACTTTGTTTAAAATCCTCTGTACTCTCTATCACCCTGTGCCTGCCTCTGGCATTGTGCAAATCGCTTTCTATGGAAATTATCTCATCACACATTCATCTCTCTTCATATGACTCAGAGCTCCTTGAAAGGACTCATATTTATATTCATATGAGCAGCACAGAATACAGAACCTGAAGTCCAGTATATGATCAAGAAAATGACTCTTAATGAATACATGGCCTTTTTGTTACAGTGAAACTACATATTTCTTTCAGTCTAGACACATTCACGTGAATGCTTTCATATGTGACTGAATATCTGCTTCATCTACAGTTGAGTGTAAGCATTTTATGCTGATAAAACTCTAAATGCAAGTATGTTGTCAAGTAAAGTGGAGGAGGAAATGGAAAAGCTATATGAAGTCTATATTCAGAGTCGTACAAATAGGTGATGTCCCCTTCCACTGAAAGTGAAAAGATTTCTATAAACAGAAAGCAGCTAAGGATGTGCAAAAACAGTAGGCCAGTCTTCAAAAAATCAGCGACTTGAGAATTCTTTTTTGGAATACAATAGAAATTTGGAAAAATATCTCACTCGGTTAAATTCTCTCTTTGTTGATACTGAATCAAGAACCCAAGAGTAAAAAACAGCCAGAAAAAAGATGTTAAATCAGTAGGTCTCCATTTAAACATTCAAAAAATATTTACTGAACATGAAGAAGGATTTGTGTTGGAGAATATGAAGAACACAAAATAAATTAGTTGGAATTGTGTCCTCAGAGGTTGAGTACTACAAATATATAATCATGTAAGGTATAAAACAATAAGTGCTACAGAGGTATAAAAAGTTCTAGAAGTGTTTAGAATAGGGAGGTAATAATTGCAGCTTAGCAGCAGTTTGGAGAGGTGGGAAGGAAGGGAGGTGGAGGTAGATGACAGAACTCTGGGAAACCTTTTCCAAGAAATGGCATTTGAACTAAGTTAAAGTATGTAGAATTCAGAGTAAGGGAGCATATTTTTGGGAGTGGGAACACTTCCACTCTTCCATTTGGCTGATTGGAAGGTGATTGGAGATAAGTAGCTAGAAATAAAGTTAGGCCAGAGCCAGATTACAGAAGGCCCTAAATGCCACTCTGGGAGAAGATTTATTCATTGACCAAGTACTAGTTTTAATGGTTTTAAAGATTTGGAGCTGAAGGTGAAGGGCAAAAATAAACTTTATCACTGAGCAGGTTAATTAACTGGATGGGATTTTATTGCTAACAGGTGGGAAGTAATCAATATTTTTCATTTCATGCCAGAAAGTTCTCAGCTCCTTAATAGATTTATTCTTTTAAATAAGGTTGTTTTCAGATATGTTTCATTACATACAGAGGTGCTGGCGTTATGTGAATTAGAAGAACAGTGGAGGAATGAGAGGCTCTAAGGAATAGTCTACAGGAAAAAATATTAGGAGACCCAGAGATTCAGAAAAGATTCATTATGGAGGCAACTATTCTTGATTCTCCAATCAGGAATTCTAGGCTGGCTGTTCTTGCTTCTTCTTTATCTAGACAGTACTAAAGGTAGAGGGAATTTTATAAAGACTTAAAAATAAAAAATGAGGTCTAGAACAATTAGATAGTTCTGAACCTAAGAGCCCAAAGCAAAGTAAGTCTCAAATAAAGCTAGAATTCAAATGTCTTCTAGTCTTCAGTATAGTTTCTTTTCCCAAATTTTGCTCTGCCCCCATTGAGTCTCTTCGAACATATAGCTCCTCAACAGTTGCAGAACTATAATTGATATGCAAATCAGTAGCAGCTACCAAGTACTGGGCCACACACCCTCTTCATATGTACTTAGAAGTATCTGGATGCTTACTAACAATAGAAATTCTTAGGTGCTATTCCAAGTCTGCTGAATAAGGGTTGCTTAGGGAGCAACCTGGGGATCTATATTTTGATACATACCTTATCCAAGTGATTTTTTTGCACCTCAAAACACGGTATGTGTTAGGTATTATTTTCCAAATTTTTCTGGATAAGAAAATTGATAGTTGAAAAAACTAAGGCTGAAGTCATGCAGTTGGTGAGCATCAAAAGTGACGTGTTGTGTCATTTTGCTTTTGAACTACATCTCCAGCTCTTTTAAGCTTTCTTTATTTTGAGACAAGGTCTTCCTAAGTCTCTGAGTTGTCCACGCTGGGCTCAAACTTGCAATCCTTTGGCCTTAGTCTCCTGGAGTGCTGGAATTACAGTGTGCACTACCATGCCCAGCCAGAGGTGAGATTCTAATGGAAGCTTCTCTGAACCTGGTGTCTACTCTTCTTACTATGCAACATTGCCTTTTTAATTAAGCTTCCAGGTGCCACATGAAGTCCCACATACTTATTTGTCTGCCATCCTGTGTCCCATGTCAGAAAACAGTCCAGAATTCAAGTTAAGGTGTGATACAGAGCTTCTAAAATGTCCAAAAGTCCCTGGCTTCCATTCATGTCCTTGGGTAATCCCCTCCACTTTAGTGTGATTGTACCACGATCACAATGACTTATTTCTGGTAAACAGAATACCGCGAAAGTGATGGGATGTCACATCAGAGATTAGAGTGCAAAGGACTGTGACTTCCCTTGTATTTGTGCTCTTTCTGGTTCTCACTTGGTCACTCTGATTGGTGTCATCCACCATGCAGTAGGCTGCCCTATAGAGGGACAGAGGAAAGCCTCTAGCCAACAGCCAGTAAGGAACCAAAGCTCTTAGTTCAACAGCCCACAAGGAACTGAATCTTGCCAACCATGATATGAGTGGTTCTTTTCATGTTGAGTCTTGAGATAATTGTAGCCCTGTCCCACATCTTGACCGTGGCCTCATGAAATCACCTCAGTTGTACCTGAGTTCCTAACCTGCAGAAACTAGGAGAAAAAGGTAGATATTTTTAACCTTTGGTGCACCATCACAACCCCTATCTCCATCACACATACAGAGATAACCTGAATCCCCCCTGAACACATATCAGCCTGCAAACCACTGGAACAGATAAAATTTTGGGAAACCTTCATGGAACCTGAGGGCATGGTGGAGACCAAAATCCAAATAACTTCATAACCACTAAACATTCCAGCCTGGCATGGTGGTACACACTTTTAATCTCAGCACTCAGGAGGCTGAGGCAGAAGGATCACTGTGAGCTTCAGCCAGCCTGGGCAATGTAGTAAGTTCAAGACCAGCCTAAATTACATAGCAAGACCCTGTCTCAAAAAATAACAAAACAACTCCTCAACGAACAAAAAAGAAAGAAAGAAAAAAGAAGGAAGGAGAGAGAGAAGCTGTTCTAAACAGAAAAATAGAATGTTACACCATTTTCTTTCAGTTCTTTTCTAGAATTTAAATTTCATGACAGCAGAGAATTTGTTTTGATGCCATGTGCCTGGATCAGTGATGGGGTGTAATAAGTGCTCACTAAATATTTGTTGACTGGTTATATGCACCATACCCATGGTCATTATTACTCTAAGTCTAGTCTTCTTTCAGTTAAGGATCATAAGAATCCAAAGCAATAGAATAGCCTCATCTTAACCAATACCCTCCGCCTTCTTATCCAAGCTTTTCACTGAACCATTGATAAAGGGTAATTTCCTCTCCTATTTCTGACTCATGTTACACTATCCCATCCTTCTCAAGGAGTTTCTAATGAAAAGGAAAGTGTCTGTGAATGAATGTAGCACTAGTTTGTTACACAGCAATTATAACACATACATGAGGACATTCAGAATATCAATCACTGTGCTCATGCTTTCTGTGCCTCAAGACACTGTGTCCTGAATTCAGACAAAAGACCTGATTATTCATAAATGTAACTGTGAGAATTCGGTACAGTGAAACCATTCTGGTGTGCCTAATGGGTGAGCTTGAACTCATGAACTAGGAATGTATCTTAAGGATCTATCACATGTATGTAGTGCTTGTTGAAAGTAGTTTTCTGTTATCTCTGAGTTAATGTGTCTAGTGTGGGATCTAGGATATGCTCTTTTCACTAGTACCTTCTGGGATATTGAGATAGGTAGAACTTCTCCAATTTTCAGAATGGTGACTTAGAAGATACAGCTCAGAGCTGGGATCCCACCCTCCAGTTATTAGCCATCGTGAGGGAGGGGCTAGCCACTCTTCTGCCATGTTCTAACAGTACCTCTAGGAACAAAATAACAATTTCCAAATCAGTATCAACAAGAGACAACCTTGTGAAATGGAAAAAGTGCCAAATAGAGATTTGTTCATTCAGCTGAATGACTCCAGAGATTATAACCAGGGCCGCAGTTTCATGATCAGTAAGATACTTGCTTGGGATCACAAGAGCTAAATGGTTCCTTCTTGCTTTACCATTCCATGGAACATGCTGTGGTAACCTGAATTTGAGCCAGGCTCTTATAATTGAATAGAAA